GAAAATGAGGATGGCGGCATATGCACAAATGTGCTTGACATGCTGGATGAATGTATGGATTGTGACAAGAAATGTAAGAACCCCCAATAAAAGTATTTTTTAAAAAAAAGAAAGATTTTTCCCTCCAGATTCCTTAGCCCTCAAACCTAAACAGTGGTCTGAGTGGTTTAAGGAAAAAGGAGGAAAGTGAACTGACTTTCCACTTCAAACAATAGCAAAAAAAAAAAAAAAAAAGACATAAAACATCTGTCTTCACAATCCTGAGATCAGAAGTAGTACATATGCCCAGCTAACACCACCACCTGCTCTAAAAATAATCACATTAGGAATTCCTGGATACAGCAAGAGAAAGGCGTGGAAAAAAACTCAAATTTGTAAAAGAGACCATGTTCATTAGTCAGAGATAGGTGCAATCCCTGAGGCTATGGCCCTTGGTCACTCTTCATTTCAGGAATTGACCTGTGATATAAAAGAAATAATAAAAACCAACCATGTTAAGGTCAGAACAGCAGCATTTACACAAGGACAAAGCTAAGGTTAACAAAGGCGGAAGAACAGAAAGGACACGGAGAAAGTGGAATACAGGATGATACATTGAAGCGATTACAAAGACTGAGTTGAAACAAAGTGTGTTTAATTATAGAATGTAAAACTAATGGTCTGCTCTGTAAACTTTCACCTAAATCACAAAGAAAAGCTTTTAAAAAATGGTGCTCTTATACAATCAACAAACGAGTCTGACAAACTCAAAAATCAGGACAAGGACCGCTTGTGTGTAATTTATTACTATTACAATGTACTTCGAGCTTTCATGCTTTAACAACGTATCTCAGTTCACATGTCTCATACGCTCCTTAAAGTCTCTTAGTCTACCTTACCTGAGGTGTTCGCTGTAATTCATACAAACTGAGTTCCCATGTTTTGCTTAAGGGCTGAGTTCCATTCGTCTGCACAGCCTGAGACATTGCTAGGAACAAAAGGGAGAAATTTTTTCAGTATTTCAAGTGATAATATACCTTGACAATGCTCTTTTGGAGAATTTGAAAATTTGAGAATAAAAAATAAGAACTGCATACTGGTTTCTCAAAAATGACAAATGAGAAAAAGCTAAAAAATCTTTCTATTTATAAATTTGAGCTACTTGGAAGCAAGAGACTATGCCTGAACTCTGCATGCTTGCCAGCTGACAAATAGAAAGTGCCTCAAGTGATGGAGAGTTATTGGTGAATATTCAGAGAAGTTTTCTTAAAGGAAACATATACAGAACATTGTCTAAAGCCCTTCTTAGAAAACTGAAGGTCATGGAACTTAGCACAAAACCACAGGACATTCCGGACTCTGCAGGACAGCAAACTAGTCCAATTTTGTCCAAGATGCAAAATTCTACTTTATACTACTTTAAACCACTGGTCATTCTGCCTCTAATTTCAAAGCTCCACTCCTAACACATCCCCAACCTAATAGTCAGTTCTAATTCTCAGAAGGTCTTCCTAATGCTGATGAGCCCCACAGTGCTGCTAAATATGAACCCTACATCTGCCTTCTGGAGGCAGAGGGGTTACATCCATTAACTTTTTACTATGATAGCCTGTCCAATATTTAGACTGTTATGATATTCCACCTGATTTTTCTTTCCTTGTGGCCCAATATCGTTTGTCTAATTTCCCCATTCAACTAGATCTCATCACCACCCTGATTCAACTCCTCTCCAAATGCCAGTTTGTCAGCAACAAAGTAACATAGGGCTTATTAGTGTTATTGTCTGCACACTGTTTTCAAACAGAAGTTGTGTGTTGTTTTCTTTTTTCCAGTTCAAACATAATGAACACTTGTTTGCCGTCAATTAAAATTCCAACGTATCCCACCCTCCATTTTCTACTATTATTTCTCAACCATCTAGCCTGATATGGCTTCTGGGTATTTTTATTTCTAAAGTTAGGGCTTACATCTATTTCCATTAAAATTAACTTTAGCAATCTGATCCACTGTTTGATCATCCTGTTAGGTTCTTTGTTACTGCTGTACATACACACATACATAAAACACAGCACTTGCTATTGGAATTTCCATCAATTCTGATTCTGTCATCTATTATTTTCAAGATTGGTCTTTGGCTCTTCTGAAAGTTATTTTTCCATTTCTCAGTAGCAATTCTAAAGTATTAGTTGCTGTCAAGTCAATTCCATCTCATGGTAACTGGCACTCTATTTTTTTTAAATCATTTTATTGGGGGCTCATACAATTCATCACAATCCATACATACATCAATTGTGTAAAGCACATTTGTACATTCGTTAACCTTATCATTCTCAAAATATTTGCTCTCCACGTAAGCATCAGCTCCTCATTTCCCCCCTCTCTTCCTGCTCATGATCCCTTGATAATTTATAAATTATTATTTTGTCCTATCTTACACTGTCCAATGTCTCCCTTCACCCCACTTTTCTGTTGTCCATCCCCTAGGGAGGAGGTTACATGTAGATCCTTGTAATCGGTTCCCTCTCTCTACCCCACTGGCACTCTATTCATAAAAATATTCTTTTCCCTTGTTTCTCTGACTAAAACAACATGTTAAATTTAAAATGTCTTGATTTTTTACCTAATTTAACCACACAATTTAATGGTTCAATAATCTTCAGAAGAGTTTTGTACAAATATGACCACATCGATTTTAGAACATTTTCTTCCTTCTTGTACTCATTGTTACTAGCTCCCCATTCCTGCCCTGCCCCCATAACCTCTACTGTCATACCCCTAAGGAACCATTAGTCCAGTTACTGTCTCTATAGATTTACCTATCCTAGATTTTATAAACATTAAAAAAGCAAATAAAGTATGAGAGAGAAAAAACCTCAACTAAAAAGAAAGCAGAAAACATTAATAATTACAACATTTTAAATGAGTTAAAGGGGAGACTCAAAGAGAAGGTGCCAAAATGTAACCTAACTGAATTTTGAATAATCTAATGCATTCTGCATGATAGCAAGGCTATTCACATCCATAGTCTTTCTTCAAAGGGCACACTCACCAGGGGCATAATCCACATCTATTTCCCCTTTGAGTTAGGGGAAAAGTGGGGGGAAAGCCTAAGGTATAGATCTCAAATTAATAGATCAGTCTAGTAATATTCAGACAGGGAGACGTTCTTAGTATGTCATTTTGGTAAAAACAACCTTAACCACGCAACTGAAATCTGACCCTTCCTTTTTACACATTATGCATTTCTTTTACAAACTCATCTGTGTTGCCCTTGAGTAGTTCAGGCTCACGGTGACTCCTGAGTACAGCAGAGATATACTCTAAAGAGAATCAGACCACCGGGTCTCTTTTCCTGTGAAGCACGGGGTGAGCTTGAACTGCTTATCTTTGGGTTAGCAGCACTTAACCATTGCACTACCAACCAGAACCCCTTCGTTTATGTCTACCCAAATTAAACCAATTCTCTAATATAAAACGAGATGACAACATTGAAATACCCAGCGTTTTCCAAACCAATTCAGGATAATTAAAGTTTACTGTGCCAACCTGGTCGATAAACACATGTGGAGTTAATTGATGGGCAGAGGGCTCAGTGAGCCTCGCCTTTCGAGTTCTCAGGTCTCTTGCTTTGTGATGGTCGGACCAGGGTAAAGCTGCCTTAGCCAGTTCCCTGCCTGCTTCAGCTGGTAAGGCTCACTTCCTGCAAGACATCCCCAAGGAGAAGCTGCATGGACCTAACCCCTTGCAACCCTGGATGTTGGAGCAGCCATGTGGAGACCCCTGCCAGCGCTGAGATGCTTACAAGTTCACTGATTCGGCTTTCCTCCTGCAGTCAGCGTCATTGCGTCTGTTTTGTGAGATGGAGGAGGACTTTGTGGATTGGTGAAGGACATATGGGTTAATGGGCTAATGTTGGACTTGTGGGCTTGGGCAGCGCTGGGTTGGGATATTTTCTTGATGTGCACTTAACCTTTATATAAAACTCTTTCTTACACATGAGTTTCTGTGGATTTGTTTCTCTAAAGTACCCAGACTAACACACCAATAAAGGGGTTTTTATAAGTTCCAATATTAAGATTAGGAAACACACTGTCCTATTTCTTTCATTTACAAAAGAACATGTAGAAGAAAATGAGTAAAACTAAAAAGAAATATAAGTGTTTGCCCATATTTACCTAGACAGGCTGGAAAGTTTAATAGCCATGCTAATGCTTCTACAATAAAATACATGATCTTTTTAAAGAAAAGGTATGACACTTAGGAACAATTTATATATCAAAAATAACCTTATCAGTTTGAATACAATAAGAGAAGATACTGTTTTAGTAAAATAATAAGTGAACTCTCAGAGCTGAAGATAAACTAAAAACATAATTGCATTTATTATATAGCCTGCTACACAACATAATTTTACCCTGTTACACAAAATAATTTGCTTAATGAGATGTTTTAACAAAATCTCAATGCAACTGACAAATATCTTGTTCAACCCCCTATTTTACTGAATGGAGATTTTAGTACCTATTTTTAAAATACTTGAAAAGGCTGAAAAAGCATCTAAACAGTTTTGTTCTTCCCCCCACTCTAAAACTAGTTTCTATTTAACAGACAGTAATAAGATAAATGAAAGAATTGACACCTATTTTTTCTGAAATGTTAATTTCATGTAAATTTTAAAATGTTGTTGCAATAAATATGTATTTTTCAAAGTGAGCTGTTAGGCATACAATGTCCACAAATAAAATTATTACTTTCACCATGTCACTATCTTGTCAGGCACTCAGGTGCACAAAGGTTCCGTTTGAAACAATGAATCGCTTAAGGACCTTTCATATTTGGTCCCTAGTTACTATCTCACCATATCGCTTAAACCATTAAATAATTTCCACTTCTCTCAAATATGCCGTAACATTTCATAATTCCATACCATATAAAAATAAATTGGTCTTCCTAGTGACCTCCCTACCACACGTGAATCTCACAAAAAGTGTCCAATGAGTGCTTACCCTTGAAGAAGCTAACCACGCCATTTTTGGTGCTCTCATATACCTCTACCCCCATCCCGCCAACTACTGCATTGGTTTTGTCAATGAAAGTATATTCTGTTTACCTAGCTCTGGTCCACTCTCACCAGACTATATGCAAGAATCTGTGGGTAATATAGTCCTGTCAAAATATGCTCAACATGTACCGATGGAGAACATTCCTCCCTATAGACACAGCAGAGAAGCCACTTACTTATAGTCCCTCCCCTAATCTTCCTAATCTTGTCTGCATCCTTCTCTTCCTCTGAATTACAATATTAATAATGTGTCAATTAGATAGATTAACACCTCATTTAAAAATTATTTATTATAAGCACTTTACATCTTGTAGGACTCCGTGTCATAGGACTCCTCATAATTCTTGGTCAGTTTTAATTTCCACACAGATGGCTCTTCCAAAATCTATCTTATCTCTTGCCCTCCCCTCCACTGATGTCAACTATTTGCTTGCGTGTGATTATATACTTTAGACCCTATAGACCAGTGTTTTCCCAAGTGGGCAACACCAGCCCTTGCGAGGGCACTGAACCAATCCAGGGGGCCTAAAAAAGAAGATACCCGATACTTCATCCTGGATTATGGGGAGGCACAGTAATTTTTTTTTTTCTGAAAAAGAGGCAGTAAGACAAAATTTGGGAACCTAAAACATGCTATAGACAGTACATTAATATTGTATTCCATCCGTAACCTTAACTTCAAGGATCCTACTCTTGGACCATCTCCATCTTTTCCAGTTACCCTACTACCTTTTCACTGTCCACTTCTCTTACATGCTCACTCCTTATTTTGTCCCACAGTCTGTCCGCATATACCTCTACCTCTATAGTAGCCTCCCCTTTTGTTGTACTCACTTATCACGTTCCTAACCTGGGTAATCCTAATTTGGTCCCCTGTACCCAAGCAGTTTAATGTGACTGTGTGTCAGGTGTATCATGGTGACTTT